CCTCCATCTCCTTAGGTATAAAATGGAGTGCAAGAGTATGGAAGACAGGGGGCCAATTAAGGAGTACATGATATGAGAGGTAGGAAATGAGCTCCCGGACCCACATGCTGTTGATCATTGGGGCTACTGTTTTCATCCTTCTGGGTTGTGATAATGCAGGTTTCATGAGGCCAAGATTTCACCTTCTGTTTTAGGGATTTTTTTTCTCTTTGACTTTTAAGAATTCTCCATTATACATTCTCCATTCTCCTCGGGAGGCTCTGTGCAAACATTCTCTTTCACAAGAGAAAAGTTAAAGACTGTATAATGAAAGAGAAAATCGCTTTCATCTTCTGGCGTATTCTTTCTTTTTCTTTTTCTTTTTTTTTTTTTATTTACTTCGCCATCAGGAAAGCATTTTCTACTCTGTGTCCTAAGACTTCTCATTAATATAATCATCCTAAATACTGGTGTAACCAAACAAAACTACAGATGCTAACTAGCAGGCAAATGGGACTCATATGTGGAGAAAAATGGGATGGTTCAATGGGATAGAGAAGAGTTGGGTTTTTTTTTAATTATCTATAATTAGTGGGAAAGAAAATATGTGGGCTATATTAAAAATAAGCTCTTTCTTTTTGAGGAAAAAGACCCTCGTAAAGAACGGGAATGCTGTTCCCTTTTATTGGCATGAATTGAGATAATTGGAACTCTCAGGATTAATGTAAGGTTCCATCATAAATAATACCACCATCTGCGATAAATAGATGCCTTTCTCTTTGAATAGACACAGCTAAATATCCTCAAACCATAAGCTATATGAGCAGCAAATGCACCGATTTAAATTCTGCTATAAAGGCTTTTATTATGCAACTCTAAATCCCTTCTGATGTTTGATCAGTTTTTTTTTTTTTGCTTCAATTTCTAAGCTATTTTGGAGGTATAGTAAACACCATGTTTACATTTCAGATCAATGAGCTAAACCTGGTGTATAATTCACATTGTAAGGGGCCCTGAAGAAAACACCAAGAAAGCTATCATTTGCATGAAACAACTCTCAGAGTGGCTTCGTCCGTATCGGAAGTCAGCAAACGGTAGCTCTCACACCAAATCCAGCCCCCTGCCTATTTTTGGATGGCCCACAAAGGGAGAATGTGTTTACATTTGTAAATGGTTGAGAAACATTTTTTTTAAACAATAATATTTCCGACATGGGAGAATTCTATGAAATGCCAACTTTAGTGTCCATCAATAAAGTTTTATTGGCACAGGGGCACACTTGTGTGTTTACACTGGTCTCTGGCTGCTTTCATGATACAACAGCAGGGCTGAGTGGCCCATAAAGCCTAAAATATTTACTATCTAGACCTTGATGGAAAAAGCGTGCTCATCTCTTCTTTAGATGATGTGCAAAGCCAATAAACTCCATTTGGACACAGCCAATGTGTATCATTTTAGAAGATTTTGGCTGAAAGAAAACAACGATGCACGATGGTCATCCATTGGTCAACCTAATGGGAAGTGTGATGGGGAAACAAGATGCAGAGTGTGTCCATGCAGCGTTCCCTCTTTGTTGTCAGGACCCACTCCCACATTCTTCTGCTGTGTCTGCCATTGCTGACTGTCTCTGGGGTTCTCACGCATAGGTCTGGCATGGATGACAGAATTAATGTGGTGACCCGGTCCCTCATTTGCCTTTGGAGAGAAAGGCATTTGCTTCCCTGGTTCTCTTAGGTGTGAGGGCACTTCTTTCCCAGAAGCCCCAGCAAACCCCTCTTCATCACTCATTGGTCCCCACTGGCCCAGGACATGGCTCCCCAACCTCAGTACTGTTGGCCTTTGGGGCCAGATGATTCTGTGTTGTGGGGCTGTCCTGTGCATGAAAGATATTGAGCAGTATCTCTGGCCTCTACCCACGAAATGGCAGTAACATCCCCCACACCAACCATGGCAATCAAAAATGTCCCCAGACATTGCCAGATGCCACCCTCCCATTGGCAAAAACACCCCTTATTTGAGAACCACTGATGTAGACTGGTGCATAACTGAACACGTTGCTGGAAACAGGTTTGGAATTACCAATTTGGTTTAAATCAGGGACTTATGGCAAATATGGCATCATGGGCTTTATCTGGCCCCTCACCTGTTTTTGTGTGACTCACAGCTAAGAATGGTTTTCACATTATAAATGGCTATATAAGTACTCACGTAATATTGATTTTGCCTCTTAGCCTGCAAAACCCAAAATAGTTACTATATGGCCCTTTAAAAGAATTTTCGCCAACCCCTGGATTAGACCAATGGTCTCAACCCTTACCATTATACAGCATAAAATTAAATTTGTAAACTTTTTTAAAAAGATTTATTTATTATTTATTAGAGAGAGAAAGAGCATGGTGGGGAGGGGCAGAGGGAGAGAGAATCCCAAGCAGGTTCCGCACTCAGTGGGGAGCCTGACATGGGGCTCGATCTCAGGACCCTGAGACCACGACCTGAACCAAACTCAAGATTCGGATGCTCAACTGACTGAGCCACCCAGGCGCCCCTAAATTTGTAACCTTACAACCTATCTACATATATAACTAAAAACAAATCTGCATAGTACCCTGTCATAGACAGGAAAAATATGAGTAGAGTAATCTGTAATAAAATAATATCTTAAACGTGTACTGGAAGACCGGATGTTAGTAGTCAGATACTAGTCCTGTGTTCAGAGTCCCCGTGCATGGGTCAGCCACAAATTCTGACTGGTGTGGACAAGTTTGGACAACTTGCATTCACAAACAGATTGGGCATGGGCTGATGACATTTTCCAAAAGGATCAACACTTTTTCACTGAAGTTTTATCAAATCGAAGTACAATTTTGCCCCAGTAGTTGCAATATTGGAAAATGCGCCCTATACGAAATCCCTGCCCCTTGCTCACTGTTTCTGTGGCCGTTGGAGATAGCTTGTTGGCTCGGGTACTTAGAGGAGGTTTCTCACCCTTGTGAATATTCAGGGGGACCCCCAGACCTCTGCACCAGCCCGGGCTACTTGTGTGTCGCGTGGGACTGTCTCACGCCCTGCAGGACGTCTAGCAGAGCGGGACCCCGCTGTCTACATGCTCGTGGGATCCTCCCTCCAACCCTTGTGATAACCAGAAATGCCTCCAAGGTCCCCCAAATGCCGTGTGTGCTGGGCTGAGGAGTCCATGCCCCAACGGCCAACACCTACTAATATGTTACTTTATATGGCCAAAGGGACTTGGCGGGTGTGATTAATTTAAGGATTTGAGATGGGATTTATTGATTTTTCTCTTTTAAAAAAGTTTTTATTTTATATATTTATTTAAAAATTTCTAATTTAAATTCAATTAATTAATATATAATGTATTGTTAGTTTCAGAGGTAGAGGTCAGTGATTCATCAGTTACATGTAACACCCAGTGCTCATTCCATCATGGGCCCTCCTTCATGCCCATCCCCCAGTGACGCCATCCCCCCACCCCCCACCCCCCACCCCTCCAGCAACCTTCAGTTTGTTTGCTATAGTTAAGAGTCTCTTATGGTTTGTCTCCCTTTCTGATTTCATCTTGTTTTATTTTTCCCTCCCTTCCTCTATGCTCTTCTGTTTTGTTTCTTTTTTTTTTAAATAATTTTTTATTGTTATGTTAATCCCCATACATTACATCATTAGTTTTGGATGTAGTGTTCCATGATTCATTGTTTGTGCATAACACCCAGTGCTCCACGCAGAACGTGCCCTCTTTAATACCCATCACCAG